CTGGCGTGAGTTTTAAGCCACCGGGTCTGGGACACGAACCGCGGTCGACTACGTGGGAGTCCAGCGACATAGCCATTACGCTAACTGCTGGTTCCCAATAATTTTTTTTAATTCAATGTATTATTTCAAGATTTTCTTTTATACAAATTGAAAGGAAATATTCAGTACCTCCTAGGCATTTTAATGGGACAGGCACATTCTAAGCTCCCCACATGCCTCAGACATTTTCTTTTATTTTTAGGTATCAATCCTTGGATATTTGTCTCTTATCTGGAGCTCTTCTGGAGGAAACATAAGGTCTTAGGCAACTTTGCATGCTCTTGGCAGACAGGGAAGAAGGTCTAAAGGGTCAAACCCTGTCTAGCTGGTTCCAGTGGGAGGGGATATATCCTATTGGGTAATTCCTTGAGATCAGTTACAGATTTCCACCTGAAAGAAGGGAAGGAAGGGAGGCTGTTTTATTTACTTGCAGATGGCTGATTCACCCAGAGATAACAAAGAAAGAATCTAGATATTTTAAAAGACCACTTGGCATGCTGTCTCAGGACCACTTTAATAACCCCACCCTAAACCCCTTTCCTTTAAAAGTCCTTAGCCCCTCTCCTTCAGGGCTGATGGAATTCTCCACATCTGCCCCTTTTTTCCCTTAGAAAATGAATAAAACCTTTTCTATCCACTTACTGAATCTGTGAATTCTTTCACAGCCTGAGACACAGATCACCCTAACATTTTGGTGGCCTGTATGGGGACCCTCATCTCTCCATGAAGAACTCTCTCTTTTTTTCTCCTCTATGTGGAAATGATCTCCCCTGTGCAAGGAGACACTATCTCTCCCTTGCACCCTTAGAGACTTCTACCTACGGGAGTAACTCTGGATAAACACTCTGTTCCAGTCTCTGCCTTGGTGTTGTACACAAATGTCTGTACATATGACTGAAATCACTATATCATTTAATAGATGATAGCTATTTCTGTTGTATATTTCTAATTATTAATGTGTATTTTTGTGGAATTATCCACATAATTCAAATCTCAGAATGAATAAATTAAATAATAATGCATACCTGCCACCAGAATTTGCCCATATTCTGTATCTAACCATTGTTTCTCAAACTTTTTTAATAACCAGGACTTCGATGCCACACAAGAGGTTGGAATAAACATTTAGAAAGAGGACTGTAATGTCAGTCAGCTCCATGACCTGGTGGTTAAGGCAACGGTATCCCTTACATCCAACTGTGCAATTTGAGTCCCAGACAAGTATGTGTGTGTTTATGCCCAAACTCCTGAAAGGCGGGGGAGATGGAGAAGAAATTGAAGCTTGACCTTTCCCCACGGGAGGTGCTTTCTCTTTTCCCACTCTCTGTCGGTCTCTCTCTCTCTCTGCACATATCTTCTAATAAAAAAAAAGAGGAATGTAATAAAAATGAAGGATTTTTAAGTTTTTTGAGAATTTTTATTGTACATTGACAAATTACAGTTTCACATATTTTAAAAGGAAGTTTTACAATGTTGGAAAATGTGAAAGAAATGCCAACACAAGTTTCAAAAATGTTCTAATTATATTATTTTATAAAATGAAAACCACTTTAAAATATGAATATTTTCCATAAAATTAATTTTATCACAATTGTATGAAAGTTAATATTATAAACAGTAAACATGTAAGTTCTGGACTCAGACTTCTAGAGTTAAAATTTCTGGTCCAGGATCAGTAGGTGGTGTGGTGGTTAAGACAGGTGGATCCCACATGACTGACTGTTCAGTCCAAGTTCCAAACCCAGCAGCTTGAAAAACATGCTAAGTACATGTACAAGTGTGCATAAATTCCTGAAAGGAGAATGGAAGACAAGGGATTGCAATATGGCTATCCATCCTGGGTGTGATTTCTCACTTTCTCACTCTGTCTCCCATGGTGCCTGTGCTATATAGCAAATTTTTAAAAAATAACCTGGTCTTATAATTTATTAGCTGTATATTCTTGAACAAATTACATAACCTCCCTGTAGTTCATTTGGAAAGTGGAGGTAATTATAATACCTACTTCATGAAGTTATAAGAATTAAATATGACAATCCATGTAAATCCCCTTGCATAGTCAGACTTAATAGATGATAGCTAGTTCTGTTGTATATTTCTAATTATTCATGTGTATATTTGGGAATTATCTACATAATTCAAATCTCAGGATGAACAAATATATATTAATACATACTTGCCACAAGGCTTTGCCCATATCCTATATCTAACCATTGTTTCTCACACTTGTTATAGTTAAGCTTTTTTATTTCAAAAATTTTTATGATCCACTTTGCCTCACTCCACTACACAAAGGTCCAAATTCTGGCTGTCAAGGTCTTCCATATTCTAGGTATCAGGTTTTTACACTCTCATAATTAATGTTTCCTTTTGTATTTCTATCCAAACTGTAGTATTATTCCCTACTTTATCATTTATGTACATTGAAAATACTACAGATATAATTTCCTTGGACACCGGAATGCCTAGATGAAAATTTGGAGCTAATTTTCTATTCCTAAAACGAAATTGTGGTTAATGAGTAAAACATCATGAAAACTTTGATACCTTGTTTATTGGTAGTAAATTCGGGACTTTATGAGGTTAATTAACTCTTTTAGAGCCTTAGAGAATAGTATACTTTTACTTGCAATTATGTATCTGATTTGTAATGTGCTTGAAGGCATAGTATTAGCCCCAAACTGTTAATACCACAACTATACATTTTACTACCTATAAGCTAAATATGATTTTAAAATTCTATTATAAGCAGTCATCTTATCTTTATTTTTATTTCCAGAAAATATGCAAACACACAAAGAGAAATTGTTTTTCTCATGGAAGCAATTTTATAATAGAGAAGTTAAATTTTCAAATAAAAGTTAAATACTTAATATTTTGATAGAAATGGCCACATATTTTATAAGAGTAATCTATTTAATCATGTCAATCCCACAACTTGCAGATTTTTCATAGTCCTAGGTAAAGTGTGTTGAAATGTCCTTGGTTTTGTGCGATTTAGCTTTAGTCTGTGTCTTCACTATTTTTTAAAATTTATTGTTATCATTGTTTTTAATGTTGATATAGAGCACATAAGAGAGAGAGAGAGAGAGCAAGAAAGCAAGCTGCCAGGTCTACAACTCAAACCATAGTGAACCATGTGGAAGTCCAGTGCCTTAACCACCACCCCACCTACTGGCCCCTGTGTCTTCACTATTGAAATCAAGTTTATTAATGACCTAATAAATTTAAAAGCACAAACAGAATGAGTAACAAAAGCATACGTGCTGTAAACTGGATGCATTGTAGCTTACCACTGTTTATCCTTAGGCAAGTTGCCTAATTTTTCTGGGGCTCCACTTATTCATTTGAACTTGAAATTTCCACATATTTATTAAAAGAGTCAGATGAGATGCTATATGTGAAATTTCCTTACAAAGTAGCAACCCAGAACATAATAGGCATCCAAAGTTTTTTCAATGAATGAATGAATTTCCATGCCATTCCTAAGTTAACAAGGTTATGGTCCTAAAATTTATGTACACATTACTTTGACTCTTTAAGCCCCCTTGCCTGTGCATTTATCTCTTAGAAAAATGAAATTTTTGCTCTCATTCAGAAATAAAGGTCTTCATATAAAAATATTTTTACTTTTACATACTATATTTATTGTATATTATTAACAATATATGCTTACTGAAGACAATTTAAAGATAAAATATCTAATTTCTATTTGGTTGGAAACATTTGTATAATCTACATCTCTTATAAAAGAAAGTTTCTTAAATTTTTAAAGACAAACAGGTAAATACCTTATTCCCTCGTCTTCCACACTTTTCACATTCTTTCTCCACCATCACCCTGGTAGCCATAATTATCACAAAAGAAAACACTTATTTCTGTTGTTTCCAAGGTTCAATTAAGGAATTTGTTTAGTTGGTAATTCTAGCCCTTGGAAAAGGAAACTGAAAGGAAAATAAGTAAACAAAGTTACAATTCAAGAGTTATTTTATTTTTAGCCAATCATTGATGAACCACTCTCTCTGCTCATGAGGCGAGAACGAGTCATAGAGCTGCCGTGCCGGGATAGTTGGTCTCGAAACTCTGAGGCCATGAAGTAATAGAGAATTGGATCCAAAAGGCAGCAGAGACTTGCAAGGCACAGACAAAAAGGGTGAAAATATAGTGTGCTTCGGACAATAGGACAATTGGTGATAATAGTTTCCTTTACCATGGTATAAAAAATAAAGTTAATATGATAGGGAGTGAAACAGATGAAAAAGACTGCTGCACACATGAAAACCATCCGCAGTGCTTTCTGTCTCTCACTGATCCCTTGGAAGGCTATTGGTGGTTGTCTCAAGGATATAGTGGTTTTCCAGGTACACCACGCAATGATGACCACTGGAATCACAAATCCTGCAAGTTCAGCAACTGTAATCATACCAACTAAAGCCACTGCACTCATTCCCCACGGGAGGTGCTTTCTCTTTTCCCACTCTCTGTCGGTCTCTCTCTCTCTCTGCACATATCTTCTAATAAAAAAAAAGAGGAATGTAATAAAAATGAAGGATTTTTAAGTTTTTTTAGAATTTTTATTGTACATTGACAAATTACAGTTTCACATATTTTAAAAGGAAGTTTTACAATGTTGGAAAATGTGAAAGAAATGCCAACACAAGTATCACAAATGTTCTAATTATATTATTTTATAAAATGAAAACCACTTTAAAATATGAATATTTTCCATAAAATTAATTTTATCACAATTGTATGAAAGTTAATATTATAAACAGTAAACATGTAAGTTCTGGACTCAGACTTCTAGAGTTAAAATTTCTGGTCCAGGATCAGTAGGTGGTGTGGTGGTTAAGACAGGTGGATCCCACATGACTGACTGTTCAGTCCAAGTTCCAAACCCAGCAGCTTGAAAAACATGCTAAGTACATGTACAAGTGTGCATAAATTCCTGAAAGGAGAATGGAAGACAAGGGATTGCAATATGGCTATCCATCCTGGGTGTGATTTCTCACTTTCTCACTCTGTCTCCCATGGTGCCTGTGCTATATAGCAAATTTTTAAAAAATAACCTGGTCTTATAATTTATTAGCTGTATATTCTTGAACAAATTACATAACCTCCCTGTAGTTCATTTGGAAAGTGGAGGTAATTATAATACCTACTTCATGAAGTTATAAGAATTAAATATGACAATCCATGTAAATCCCCTTGCATAGTCAGACTTAATAGATGATAGCTAGTTCTGTTGTATATTTCTAATTATTCATGTGTATATTTGGGAATTATCTACATAATTCAAATCTCAGGATGAACAAATATATATTAATACATACTTGCCACAAGGCTTTGCCCATATCCTATATCTAACCATTGTTTCTCACACTTGTTATAGTTAAGCTTTTTTATTTCAAAAATTTTTATGATCCACTTTGCCTCACTCCACTACACAAAGGTCCAAATTCTGGCATTCAAGGTCTTCCATATTCTAGGTATCAGGTTTTTACACTCTCATAATTAATGTTTCCTTTTGTATTTCTATCCAAACTGTAGTATTATTCCCTACTTTATCATTTATGTACATTGAAAATACTACAGATATAATTTCCTTGGACACCGGAATGCCTAGATGAAAATTTGGAGCTAATTTTCTATTCCTAAAACGAAATTGTGGTTAATGAGTAAAACATCATGAAAACTTTGATACCTTGTTTATTGGTAGTAAATTCGGGACTTTATGAGGTTAATTAACTCTTTTAGAGCCTTAGAGAATAGTATACTTTTACTTGCAATTATGTATCTGATTTGTAATGTGCTTGAAGGCATAGTATTAGCCCCAAACTGTTAATACCACAACTATACATTTTACTACCTATAAGCTAAATATGATTTTAAAATTCTATTATAAGCAGTCATCTTATCTTTATTTTTATTTCCAGAAAATATGCAAACACACAAAGAGAAATTGTTTTTCTCATGGAAGCAATTTTATAATAGAGAAGTTAAATTTTCAAATAAAAGTTAAATACTTAATATTTTGATAGAAATGGCCACATATTTTATAAGAGTAATCTATTTAATCATGTCAATCCCACAACTTGCAGATTTTTCATAGTCCTAGGTAAAGTGTGTTGAAATGTCCTTGGTTTTGTGCGATTTAGCTTTAGTCTGTGTCTTCACTATTTTTTAAAATTTATTGTTATCATTGTTTTTAATGTTGATATAGAGCACATAAGAGAGAGAGAGAGAGAGCAAGAAAGCAAGCTGCCAGGTCTACAACTCAAACCATAGTGAACCATGTGGAAGTCCAGTGCCTTAACCACCACCCCACCTACTGGCCCCTGTGTCTTCACTATTGAAATCAAGTTTATTAATGACCTAATAAATTTAAAAGCACAAACAGAATGAGTAACAAAAGCATACGTGCTGTAAACTGGATGCATTGTAGCTTACCACTGTTTATCCTTAGGCAAGTTGCCTAATTTTTCTGGGGCTCCACTTATTCATTTGAACTTGAAATTTCCACATATTTATTAAAAGAGTCAGATGAGATGCTATATGTGAAAGTACCTTACAAAGTAGCAACCCAGAACATAATAGGCATCCAAAGTTTTTTCAATGAATGAATGAATTTCCATGCCATTCCTAAGTTAACAAGGTTATGGTCCTAAAATTTATGTACACATTACTTTGACTCTTTAAGCCCCCTTGCCTGTGCATTTATCTCTTAGAAAAATGAAATTTTTGCTCTCATTCAGAAATAAAGGTCTTCATATAAAAATATTTTTACTTTTACATACTATATTTATTGTATATTATTAACAATATATGCTTACTGAAGACAATTTAAAGATAAAATATCTAATTTCTATTTGGTTGGAAACATTTGTATAATCTACATCTCTTATAAAAGAAAGTTTCTTAAATTTTTAAAGACAAACAGGTAAATACCTTATTCCCTCGTCTTCCACACTTTTCACATTCTTTCTCCACCATCACCCTGGTAGCCATAATTATCACAAAAGAAAACACTTATTTCTGTTGTTTCCAAGGTTCAATTAAGGAATTTGTTTAGTTGGTAATTCTAGCCCTTGGAAAAGGAAACTGAAAGGAAAATAAGTAAACAAAGTTACAATTCAAGAGTTATTTTATTTTTAGCCAATCATTGATGAACCACTCTCTCTGCTCATGAGGCGAGAACGAGTCATAGAGCTGCCGTGCCGGGATAGTTGGTCTCGAAACTCTGAGGCCATGAAGTAATAGAGAATTGGATCCAAAAGGCAGCAGAGACTTGCAAGGCACAGACAAAAAGGGTGAAAATATAGTGTGCTTCGGACAATAGGACAATTGGTGATAATAGTTTCCTTTACCATGGTATAAAAAATAAAGTTAATATGATAGGGAGTGAAACAGATGAAAAAGACTGCTGCACACATGAAAACCATCCGCAGTGCTTTCTGTCTCTCACTGATCCCTTGGAAGGCTATTGGTGGTTGTCTCAAGGATATAGTGGTTTTCCAGGTACACCACGCAATGATGACCACTGGAATCACAAATCCTGCAAGTTCAGCAACTGTAATCATACCAACTAAAGCCACTGCACTCATTTGTTTGTAACCAAGATCAGCAAAGCAGGACACTGTATCATTGCCTAAATCCGTGCTTCTCAGAATGGGAAATGGCAAACAGGCAGTCCCCACGATGACCCAGATAACAGCACTGATGCCCACATCATATCTACGCTTCCAATCTCTGGCCCTGAAGGGTTTGAGGAGAAAGAAGCACCTCTGAAGGCTGATGCACGTCAGGAAGCAAATGCTGGCATACATGTTCAGATACTTCAGGTAGAAGCACAGCAGGCAAAGGGTCCTCTGAAAAGGCCATTTGTGGCTGATGTAATAGTAAATCCGAAGGGGTAAGGACAGCACGTGAGCAAGGTCAGCTACAGACAGGTTGATCATGAAAATGATGGCTTTATTTTTCTTGCTGATAAAACGGTACAAAACCCACAAGGCTGCACTGTTGGCCAGAAGACCAGGGATGAATATAAGGATATAGGTGGTTGCATAGAGAGGGTACTGGAAAGTCACATTAGTGATGTTGCAGTCAGTCTCAACATTGCTAGTACTGTTGCCACCCATCTTGAATATTTCGGTCTATTCATCAAGGTAAGCCGTGGATTTATGATCCCTGCCTAAAGCAAAGAAAAAAAAAAAGAGTTTAATGGTTAACTAGTTCTCTAGCCAACACCCATATTTTATTTTATATTTACAGAGATATAGGATATTAGAATTAGAAGGGACCTGTTCAGATGAAGGAGCAGAAGCCCATGGATGATACACTGTTGATTCAAGATTATTTAGGGAGTCAGTTCGGGAACCATGGGTTTATCCCACACCTGCCTCCCAAGATTTTCACAGCTTTCTTGCAGGCAAGGGTATCTTTAAACATTTACTTTGTTGTTCTGACAGCAGTGAAAATGGTACAACACTTGTGTATGGCCTTTTGCCTCCAAATTTGTCTTGCCCAAATCCCTGGATAGAATGAACACAGCTGGGTCACCCCCAACTGCAATGGTAGAAAATCAGCTTCACCTTTTAGATCCCCTTGCTTCTCCTTTGTCTGGAACTTTAATCATTTGGTATTGGCTTCCTACTTAGGCATTCCAGCACTTGGAAAATGGCATTGTCTCCTTAAGCCTAGATTGTTAGTGACCTGATTTTTTAGGACTTGGGAATGGGCCCTCTTTATTATTCCATCACAGTTGCTTGTGATTCTGAAATTCTCCCAGAGTTTTGTTTGTTTGTTTGTTTGTTTGTTTTTTTCCTCTCTCTTTCTCCCTCCCTCTCTCTTTCTCTCTCTCTCTCGGCTTGGGTTCTATGCCAAGTTTCCATGAAAAACTTCGATAATAAACGAAGCTGAACTCTAGTATTTCCCCTCATGTTAACTTGGAAGGGAAGAGACCAATTCTCCCTCTTAGAGGGATCTTGTATTGGTGTACCATCATTGACATGAAAAGTTATCCAACAGATAGAGTGAACATTGTTTAGGCTGCTGAAAAAACAGGGCCACCAAAACCATTTTTAGAAACAATTTAATATTTAATGCCTTTCATTTTTATTAAAGAAATCACTATAAAGAGAAATTGAATCTCTTAATGATACTTTATGCTCACTATGATTTTTATTATGTATTGTATTAGAACATATGAAGAGTAATCTTTAGAGATTCTCAAAGTCTAGTACTAGATTTATGCACATTGTCTGTGACAAGAATGGTAGCAGAATAACAAACCCATTGTTAAACTTTAACTACATTATGGAATTTTAAGCTGAGAAGGACCCTAGGAAATCATCCAATTAAGCCTCTATGTAATACCAATAGAAGAGGCAAGACTCAGAGAGGACAGTTTATTACACCATGCAGTTACTAAATAGAAGATATGGGACTTCCAACCAGAAGATAAGATCCTTAATCTCCATATATACTTTTTTTTCCTCATCTTTTATTTCCTCTCCAAGATAATTTTTACAAAGAAACATTCTGTCAATATCACAAGAGTATTTATTGTAGAATACCAATAGAAGAGGCAAGACTCAGAGAGGACAGTTTATTACACCATGCAGTTACTAAATAGAAGATATGGGACTTCCAACCAGAAGATAAGATCCTTAATCTCCATATATACTTTTTTTTCCTCATCTTTTATTTCCTCTCCAAGATAATTTTTACAAAGAAACATTCTGTCAATATCACAATAGTATTTATTGTAGTTAGAGCTAGAAGTGGAAGGAATACATCAGTGAAATTTTTCCTCAGGTAGGTTAAGGAATTCTTTATTATTGTTTTTATTTACTTTCTTTTTCTTTTAGTTAAGCTTACAAAAGAAAAGATATAACCTTCATAAGTAGTAGAATTGCTTCCTAAAGTATGTTCAGTTATACTCCAGGAAATAGAGATATGATTAAAGGAACAGAACCACAAGTTATAAAGTAAGACCAAAGAGGTTCAATGTTAATATCTGCCATTAATCTAAAGAGTATTTTAATTTTCCCTCTTCTTCAATTTCATTCTCCCTACTCTTCTGATATGTCATGCTGTTATCTTGCATATGTACATTTAACTTACAGTGGAAAGTGGAGGAGTGCTCCCAGGCAGAAAGGAAGAAAATAATTATGTTGTAAGCATCAAGAATGCTACCACATTTTAAACTTTTGGGTAATCAGATTTTCAACTTGTGCCTTCCAAAAGAACACTACTGCCTAACACAATTCTGTGACAATAGGCTGTGCCTTGTTTTGATATATTTTTGATTCCCCATAAGAGGACCCTCCACTTTGTGTTAATAACTACTGACTCTTGTTATATTTAGAATAAGACGCTGGTGGAGAGTTTTGCTCTTACATTACCTGTGAAGATGCTTACTTTCTTATTATTATGTATCATTTGCTAAAAACATTATTTTTAACCCCTGTAAAAAGTTATTATAGGGACCAGCAGTAAGTGTAATGGCTATGTCACTGGACTCCCATGTAGTTGACTGCAGTTCGAGTCCCAGACCTGGTACTAGGGAGAAATGTTCACCTGTTGAAATATCCATTTTGTAAGACAAATAATAATGTGATTGAACGTATGGAAGAAAATTAAATGAAAAAAAAAAAAAAAATCCTGGCGGGCGCGCGTCACTGCAA